TCTTCTTCTTCTTCTTCTTCTTCTTCTTCTTCTTCTTCTTCTTCTGCTTCTTCTTCTTCTTTTTCTTCTTCTTCTTCTCCACGCTCAAGAGGGTCCCCCCGAGAGGGTTCCCCCGGCCGCGACGGCCCAGCGGTTCTTGTCTCGGCCTCAGGGCTTCCTTTCAAAGCCACGGGGTTTCGGGTTCTCTCTCTCTCTCTCTCTCTCTCTCTCTCTCTCTTCACCACGACCCACCATACACACACGCTGACATCACGACAGCTGTCTGGGCTTGACGCCTTACTGTGGGGGGTCGGACGGTCGGTTGCGTGTCGGGTGAACCAAGGCCCGAAACCTCGCTGTGGCTGGGGGGCTGGGGCGGTTGAGTTGCGCGCCGAGTGAGCCAAGCGCTGAAACCCTTGCTGTGGCCGAGGTTTCAGGCCTCTAGGGGGTCCAGCGCAAGTAAAGCTTCCTTCATGAAACAAAGTCTCAATCTTTTGCTGTAAGCGACCCAAGGCATCGTGGTCCAAACCATGATGTCGCAAAAAGCGTGCAGCAAAGTTCAGAAAAATTAATGAAATGCGCATGCCGAATCAAAAAATGACTCTGCTGACGTCCGGTAACCAACAACAACCAACAATAACAACCAACAGTAACCAACGACCACCAACAACATCCAACAACATCCAACAACATCCAACAACATCCAACAACATCCAACAAGCCAAGAAGCCGTACTGGCAGAAACGTATTATCAATATTGACCCACCACCCGCCTAAACCCCCCCCCCCCGCCCCCACCCACCCTAACCCCGCCCCCCTCCCAGAAGCGCAGATTGGATGTTTCCAAATGGTCCTCCCCCATCCTATGATGAGATCAATAGCAACTCAAGCCTAGCTCCGCTACCCTTCGTGATTATAGTTTACTCTTGTTCCTGCCATTGCCTCTTGTTCTATTGCTGCGATGATTTCGCCTGCGATGACTATGAAGACACTTTCTGCGAGTTTTGATTCTTACAGCTATCACTCTGCTATCTCGGGTTGTTTTAAAATTTTAAAACAACCCGAGATTTGTCTTAAAACAACCCGTTTTCTGCTACCAAGAATCGGCACAATTGACGACCTTCGCACAGGTGCTCGGGGCATAGTCAACTACGCCTCCGAAGCCCTCAGCACCTGAGACCGGTGAGGGCAAGCCGCAGAACACCAGCGCCTAGAGGGTTTAGGGTTTAGGGTTTAGGGTTTAGGGTTTAGGGTTTAGGGTTTAGGGTTCAGGGTTCAGGGTTCAGGGTTCAGGGTTCAGGGTTTAGGGTTTAGGGTTTAGGGTTTAGGGTTTAGGGTTTAGGGTTTAGGGTTTAGGGTTTAGGGTTTAGGGTTTAGGGTTTAGGGTTTAGGGTTTAGGGTTTAGGGTTTAGGGTTTAGGGTTTAGGGTTTGGGACCATGTAGCACAGATTTAGTGACATCAGGTCGACATAAGTCTGGCATGCCGGCGAGAAGCTGACTTGTGTGACAAAGTCTGAAATTCCACTCCTCAGAGCCACTGTGCCATGAGCAACTTCATGAAATTCAAGAGCGCTTTGATTGCCTTGCCTTGCGCCTTGCCTTGCCTTCTGAGATCATGGAGACAGGTCTCGTTGTGGTGCCCTCCTGCGGGAGGCCGTAGCCCGTTGGCACCAAAAAAGGGGTACCTCAGAGCACGTTTTCCCAGAGTTTTCTCAGGAGTCCTGGAGCCCCTTCCATGCTTCCCAAGGCGCAGGAGGCGGAGGAGGCGAAAAAGGGGAGCAGATTAGCATTAGCTCCCATTGCCTGCCCGAGGCCAAGAGACTTCTCGCGTCTGCTCGATAAGAGAAAGTCAAGGGATACAGTCAGTCAGAAGCCTGGTAATTTGCATCGCTTCCGATGGACTGCTGAGGAAGCCTCCGCAGGTGCCAACGATTGAAAGAAACAGTACATCACACGCCTGTTGCAACGGAAACCTGCACAGGGAGAATACACGGAACACACTTGAACATTGATGTGGTGGTGACTCCTCTCACATTCTTGCATTTACCTAAATCCAGAAATATATGCCTTGCACTATTCAAAGGGTAGGGAGGCACATAAGCAAAAGCTACCAAAAGGTCAGCTTCAAAGGAAACATTATTTTAATAACTTCGATCATGCCCACCCTGCAGCCGATGTGGGAGGCATCCTGCCACCCTCAGACGCGTCAGTACGGATACTTCGCCGCAGGCTTCGGTCACGGGAACTCTTTGCAGAGTCCTGGGAAGGTATAGGGACTCTGGCGGGGGTCTCTGGGGGCAGTCACTCCAAAGATACTCGGCGGGACCTTCTGCAGGATTCTCGCGGGGTGCACACTCCAAGGATACTCAGCGGGACTCTTTGCGGGATTTTCTCTGCGGGCTTCTCTGGGGCGGGCACTCCAGGGGCACCCCCGGCGGGCTTCTCTGGGGATGGGTGCTCGCCGGCACTCTCTGCGGGCTTCTCTGTGGCTGGGCACTCCGTCGACCAGGCAAGGAGACCAGGCCGCACACGAGACGAGGAGGGCGAGGAGAATGGTTGACTTACAATCTAACAACCCACACCGAGCGTGGGAAAGCATAAACATACATGGCTCAGCCAAGAGCTGCGCACCATCTTGTGAAGGTGGTTTGAAAGTCTTTATCACTTCTGCAAGTCTTCGGAGACCACAGAAATCAGAAGCCTGAAACAAAGACTGCACCACGCGATGTGGCCAGCAACCAGTGTCACACTTGCAGCTTGGTGGCATCATTGCATCTAACGGAACATCACGCCTTGGTCAATCGATAGATAAGCTGTCAGTAGTAGCAGTAGCCGCAGCCATAGCGGTAGCAATCGGGATAGCACTAGCAAGAGTAATAGTAGCGCAAGGAATAGTGGCAATAGCAACTCGTACTGGCAATCATAAATCATGACCGAAAAAACGGTCGCCCTCATGGCCACAACTAGCCGGCAATACCACATACAATATTTAGCACACATTGCCAGTGCTTTTCTACACGAGCTCTGTATCAGCTTCGCCACAGCATGTTCGTCAGCGTCACGACCTGACAAGAATACAAGAGCTCTTCTTGCCCAGCTGGGGGTCTTGTGTTATCACAGGTTGGCTGGCCTGGCAAAAAGAAGCCTAGGCCTTCATCAAAAGCCTTTGGCTCTTCGTGAACCTGCAAAAGTGTTTGATGTTCGGCACCCCTTAACCTTACACTCTGACTATGCAGTCTCATGCTGCTGCCCCCGAGACCGTATGTTATCATACTTTATCGGTGATGCTGCGCTGTACCTTGATTTCCTGGGTAGCATTAGCGTTGTGGGGTGACATTCGGCATCGGTGGCACCAAACCCGAAGCATGCGGCTCCGCTCCGTTTGTCAATGTTGAGCAGAGAGACAATGTGCGGCCTACTAGCTGTACAAAGCAAGGCTCGAAACCCTATCAACTGCGGCTCCATCTTGGGGCGCCTCACAATAACAAGAGAAAGAAAAAATCCTAAACCCTAAACCCTAAACCCAAAACCCTAAACCCTAAACCCTAAACCCTAAACCCTAAACCCTAAACCCTAAACCAAAGCTCGGCCTCGGTGGAGGTCGCAAGACCTGCGCTCGGCGCACTCCTCGGCTATTCTGGGGCCACGCAGGCTACGCAAACTACGCAGGCTACGCTACACAGGCAACGCAAACTACACTCAAACTACGCAGGCTGCGCAGGCTGCGCAGGCTGCGCAGGCTACGCAGGCTACGCATACGAGAGCACCACTGAGACAGGAAACCCGAGCTGATCGAACTGGTTCGTGATCTGCGCCTAAGACTTCGCACAGTGCACCCATGACGCTTGCGGGGCCTTAAGCCTCGAAAGAGAGAAGCACCCTCGGAAGCATGGCAGCAGGCTTCCAGCCATGCTTCCAGCCATGCTTCCAAAGCAACTCAAAGCGGCCTGGGTTTGGACCACCAGCTTATCATACATGGAGACTTGTTGGCCGCCCTCCTCGATGAAGATGAGATCCAGCAGCCTTCCCCCAGGCAACAAAAGGAGTCTCTCAAAAAAAGTGGTCAGGGAATGGGAGAGCCTGGGGTTGGAAGTGGAGTTCTGAATGCACTGGTCGATCATGGCTCCCATCATGTCGCCTCAGCTGCACGAGAAGCAGATGCCTCTTGCAGATTCACCAGGGAGTTCATAGCTCTTCAGGCGCCCCCCTCCCCCAGGATCACGGTCAGGGGGCCAGAGGTAGGGTCGATCGGAATGTCCAAGGCTCCCGAGATGTCCGTGATCACAGTACCTCTCCGAAGGGCACAAAAAGCTCATGGCGAGGGAATCTGTGCAAGTGATGGAAAGCCTGGGCAGCCTCCTGACAAGCGCATGTGCCCGAGCCCTTCTGAAGACCACCTACTGAGACTCTGACCCACACACACACAATGTGCAACTGCATCACCGGGAACTAATAGCAGACAGTTCGTTGGGAAGCCTTTCGAAGATTGAGGGCTTTGGTGCTTTTGGCAGGGAGCCCACAAGGTAATCTGGGACTCTGGCTGCTGATATCCTCCATGATCAAGCACATGGAGGACAGTGGCACAGCCAAGATCAGCAAGAGGCCGCCCAGGAAGAAGGCGAGCATGGTATAATAGCAGCCTGCCGGAAGATGGCGCGCGAAAGGCAGCTTGAGACCATTCTGCTGACTCAGTGAGGGATACCGCAAAGCCGCTTAGATGAGTGCAGCTGCTTCAGTGCAGGCTCGTAGCCGCAGCACCAAGTGCAACATGCACATCGATATGTCCATGGATTGTGAACTGGCTCTCCGCTGTCATCGCTTCCTTGCGGAGGTGCTTGTAGCTTAAACAATTTAAGTATCGCACCAAAGTCGTTCAGCCTCGCGAGAATTGAAACAGGTTCGACTCTGACAGGATTCGACCAGCAACAACATGCACTGAGCGTTGGCCAACAAAGCATGCTACGCAGCTACACTCGAAGTCTTATGCTGCAGCAATGCCCAAGCATCGACGCTTGTCGCAGCACATCCACAGCAAGATGGCGATGATCGCGCAGCCTGCCAGGACCAGAGCCAAACCTTGGCATCAGCACGTGGACGCACAAACGGTGCATGAACACGCCTAAGCCCTAAGCCGAAACCTCAATGTGACGGCCGAATAGGTCGGCAAAAGTGCCTGCCGAGGCCGAGACCATGTCATATTCTACATACTAAAACATATACATATGTAAAAATGTACGTATATCCGACTGGCCTATTGTTTCGCAACATGCGAAGTAAGTGGCCACCCAAACCGCCCCACGCTGTCAGGTCTCAAAGCTGCCCTAATCAATTCCATGTTATGCCTTTCAGTTGACCTCACTCTATAGATGGACATATGTTCGAATTTGCGAGTATGTATATATATATATATGCGTATATATGTATATATATATATATACATATATTGGTTGGAGAAGATGTATGTATGTGTATATATATATATGTATATATGTATGTATATGTCTGATTTTGCGAGAATCCATCTATATATATATATACATAGATATATACACATATATATATATACATATGTATATATATATATATATCTGGGAAGTAATGGGAAACTTGAGACCCATCCGAGACGTATTTGAAACCGATCTTCTTGCAGGCTTCGGCACCAATCATGAACACACTGGCCACTGTCCTCAGCCACCAAGCGCACCCCGTGTGCCCACGATTGTCAACATCGGCTTACGTACCCTCATGCGCCAGAAAGCAGATTTGCCAGCGACTGCATGCAAGCAACCCATTGGCATTCATCTGGTCAGATAGCTGTTCCATCAGGGTGTCCTTCGCAGAATGCAGGGCAGAGGTACCATTGAAAGCCAAACACCGCGCCCAGCAAAAGGGTCCTCAACGAAGGGAGTGAAGCTTGATTTAATGGTCGTCTTGAGCTCGACGAGTGGGGCAGTTGCCTTGAAAGAATCTTGCAGCTTTGTGGTGTGAGCTACTCTGTGCCGATGCCGACATCATACGGATAGGCGCTTGTGTCGAGCTTCAATCTCGCATACCCCATTTTTCAAATAGCAAACAACTCATGGCAATCCTACTTAAGCTGGGGCACGGTGGAAAGAGAGCTGCGGAGGCTCACCAAGCTGCCTCGGTGACATGCACATCTTGTCATGCCACGTCTACCCACTGCACATCGTCAAGGGGCTTCCAGAGAGCTGATTGTCCACCTCCACGCGCGCTGCGCTGAGTGCCGCAGCCGTGCCGGAAGACACGGAGCTGCTGACCTGCTCAGAGGGCAGAAAGCAATCTCGGTACCCTGACAAAAAAAGCACTACGGGTTGTTGATCAATCCTGCCTTGCCTGGGGTCGGGTTTAAAAGCTTCAAACGTGTCCGTTCCCAGTTCCTCGGGCCAAGGGGCAGTGCTCAGCGTTGAGGCCAGAGGAGCGCAAGCGACGCCTTGGGCACGGCAGTGCTCTCAAAACTACTGAGCCCATGCTGCAAGGCCCGTCCCTCGCTCGAGGACCGTCCACCACAGTTATACAGTTTCTGCATAGAAATATATGTACATGGGAGGCCTGCAAGACAACTCTGCCTTTCTTTCCTTGTCTCCCTCTCTCTCACGCCGTGTGCCGAGTCCTTTTCTTTCTTTTTTCCTTTGTTCTTTCTTTCGTGGGGCGAGGGGGAAACCCCCTGGCATCTTCGCCCACTGTCGCACGAAGCGTGTCTTTGTGTGTTCCTCCGCGGTTTGGTGGGATGCTGTCTGCTTGCTGGCTCGCCTTCATCTTTTGAGTTGCATTGCTTCTCGCGTTCTGTAGTAGTGTCCTTGCATATGCTTTATGGGGTCGACTTTCGAGGAGCATCTCGATCTCAGTCTGTTGGCGGCGGTGGGCTCGTCGGCGACTTCGTCAATGTTGGCGCCTTGACTGTCGCTTCCCCTCCATTGTCCACTGCTGTCTCCTGTTTTCCTCTTGTGGTACTGCAAGCAGCACAAATCCTGGCTTTGTCTGTTTTTGTGCGAGGATACTGCTGGTCCCCTCCATCCTGTTTGGTCGGTACATCTGGAGTCCTTCATCTCCTTACTTATGCACCCGCGGGGGCACTTCGGACAGTGTTGTTCCGGTCTCGGCGCTGTTTTCCCCGTAGCTTGGCTGCTGCTGTAGCTGGCCCATTGTTGGCCCTCTTCCTGTCTGATTTCCCCGCACATCTCCATGGCCTGCCCTTCTTCAGTCCCTCGGTTGCTCCTACAAGTAGGTTGCTTTAGGACCGTTTACTTCACCCTCATAGGAAGCACCCCCCAACCTAAAAGACTCAAACAGTCCTGGCCCCGTTTTACAACTGCTCTACTCTCAGCTGAGTCTGTCTCTCACTCTCTCTCTCTCTCTCTTTCTTTCGCTCTCTTTCTTTATTTCTTTTTGGGGGGCGTGGGGGTGAACCCCCTGGCTGTGTGCCTGCCCCGGTATTCGAGGACTTGGGGGAAGCTTTCGCGCTCTCTCTCTCTCTCTCTCTCTCTCCCCGCGCATAGCCCCGAGTGACCGTGTTTTTCTGCTACTTATTATTTTTCGTCTTCTTCTGCTTCTTCTTCTTCTTCTTATTCTACTTACTCTTCTTCTTCTTCGGTTTCTTCTTCTCTTTCTTCTCCTTCTTCTTCTTCTTCGACAAGGAGATCCGGGCGAAAAGAACAGTTGAGTCAAAATTATACCGAGGGTGGGTGAAAGAATCTGATCAAAACAACCGAGAGCTCTCTAAGGCCCGGACACTCATGAACAGTACCAGTGGGCAGTGTGTTCCGGGTGTCGCTCAACATGGCGCTGAGCATGTCCAATGTGGCCTCCAGGGGGGGAGATGGAGTGAGCCAAGAGTTCTACCACTTCTACACCTCGGCTTCTGGTGTCTAGTCAAAAATGAAATAACACCTGCATCTGTGAGGAAGTCTGACATCTACACAGCCAGCTCATGAAGTGTCAGTTGGATGGCCGGGTGGGAATTGCCATGGCCAAGCTGCAGTGGCAACGGTGACAGAATCGGTGATGTCCTTGCCAAGGCGTTGACACACAAGTCCCCTTCAAGGGCAGCAAAACGCTCGTGGTGACCCAAGTGTCGGAGGCATTAACGCTGCATGTATCCTGGCCTGGGTATCCAACAAAATGCCTCGGAGGTCGTTGATGAACTGCGAGCCGTCCGCCAGGTTGCCTCATGACGGTAATTCCAGCTGCTGCGACGTGGCAGAACGTGGAAGAGTGCCTCCTGCGACTCGCCCGGGCCTTCCAGCGAGTCGAAGATGTTCAGCACCGGGATCAGGCCGAGGAAGTACGGACTCGTCTGGCCCTGGAATGTGGAGTTGACCTCGGCTGAAGCACGTGGTGTTTCTCACCATTCCATATGCGACGACCATGATTCAACAGCCCCTGCGCCCTCTGAAAATTTCGGCAAGAGCAGCCATTCGTGCCGCAGCGCAGTTCGTCACATCGAAGCCCTCCACCGCCTAAGCAACGTGTACAACACAAAGGCATCCCCTCATTTGGCACCGCTCTGCTGCCATGTGCGCTCAGAGTCACTGCATAAGAAACCCATGTCAGGGACTGCCTACTTTAAACAAATGGAGGAAAAAAGCTGCGAACAAAGAGAGATCTCTCAATAAGATCCCCCCCCCCACCATCTCCGAGCGGCCCTGGAGTAGCCTCGCGTGGACAGGCTGGACAGGATGACCAGGGCCAGGACGAAGCCGCCCACCCTCAGAGAGAGAGAGAGGGAGAGAGCTTCTATAAGAGTCTCTCTTTGGGACTTTCCACTTGGGGTTTAGGGCTTAGGGTTTCAAGTGTAGGGTATATAGGGTAGTACTTGAGGAGATGAGTCTTTCAAAACTTTTCATATGGAGGTCATCTCTTAGCTCAGCTTTAGGGTGGTCTAAGGTGCTCTCCACCGACTCCGGGTTCTTCAGCAGAACAGACGTCTCCAGCACCAAAAGCACGAAAAATCAGGCTGAGAGTCACGATCAAAAAGAGCAGCTTCACGACAAAGGGAACAGCGCGCTTCCTGCCAGGGACTTCTGCGTGTGCAGGCTCTTGTCGTACTCCTACTATCAAGATCACTCACGCCAGAGCCTTTTAGAGTTCTTGAACGTGCTACAAGTTTTTGGTTGCACTATTGCCTGCTCTGCCCTACGGAGTACTACGGACAAATGCCCGCGGAGCATGGCCACTGTGCTCTGCAAGCTATATAACCTATGCAGAAACGAACAGTCATGTATGCTTTGTCAGCATCCCCCCCGTGTCTTGCGGCAGCAGCGGCAGCACTTGCAGAATGGGCACGCCGTCCAGCAACATATAAGCGTGTAGACAAAGAAGATGAGGAAGAACATGATCTCGGCAACAGCTGAGAATTGCTGCAGTTCAAATTTGATCTGCTCTTAGTAGCAGAATCAAGCGCGTTGACAAAAAAAGTACACCATGGAAGACACACCCCTGAAGCAAGCAGCAAGAGGGGTGGCGATGGCGATGAGTTTTCCAGGCAGCCTTTCAGCGAGAAGGTTGACCATCTCGGAGTTGGTTGTTGCTTCCTGAGGCTTGTCAGAGAGGCTTCGAGGCGCGTGTAAGACTAAAGAACGACCCCCGGGCCGACTAAGTCTACCCATTCCGAGCTTTCTGCCGCGATTCCGTCAGAATCTCCAACAGAATGTTGCCGGCAGCAGCATCCTCCAACTGTTGGCGTGCTTTTGCCCGATCCTAGGTGAATGAGCAAGAGAATAGCAAGAGATGAGCATGGTCAGGAATCCACGAGCTCGGGCATAAAATAAACACAAAGATGGAGACATAACAATAACAGGACACGCAAGCCCTAAGCTTGCCATTTCACGTCCAAGCATCATCGATGTCTAGAGAGCTCCGTATCGCACACGCCTCAAGGGGAGCTCAGGGCTTGGGATGAAGGGATTCCACGAAGTCCCCCAGCAAAACAAAAACACATTGATGTCATGGCGGGGCCAAACGGACACCTGATAGCGGTGCTGACAGCATCACGCACTTGATGGCGCACTTCTCCCCTCAAACACCCCTTGAAGCAGTAGTAGGTGCGACCCGTCTGAGACAGACGACAGTGGAGACGACAGGGAGGAGTGACCCAACCAGGCCCTGCTGACAACCCGACCCAGCGACAAGAGCATCAGAAGGTCCATTTTCATGCTGGTTGTGCAGATGCAGCAAGGTTGCTAAACTTGTTCCAGAAGCCGCAACAACATATTCCCCAAGATCCAGCCCCGGCCAGGGTGGGAAGCCAACTCGAGGGACCGTTCTCGACCCCCCCCCCCCCCCCCCCCCCCGCCCACCCCCTTACGTTGCGAGCTTCCGCTTCCCAAGAGTAAGGAACCCATCTACCCGCAGGGTGGTGGCTGCCATGGGCTCGTAGCAAAGCTGAAAAGGCTGCTTGAGACATCTTTGCACTGCACATCCCGGGCATCTGAGTGGAATAAAAAAATGGGGCGCTGGCCGACTCAGCTTTCAAATCTGCTGCATTGGCCATCGCGATATCGTCCGCTGTGACGTACGTGCCAGCCTAATGCTACAACAGCTGAGAAGCTCTTCCTCCGCATCTGCGCATGTCAGAACTCATCCTGGTATGGCCCTCTGTCACATCAGCTGCCACCGAGAGACGGTCCATTGTCCTGAGAAAATCTCATGTCTTCCAAGCTCCAAGAAGTTGCGAGCTTTCAAGGCCTGTTTTCTGCTTGATCTAAACCGGCCTCTGCAGGTGACGTGAAGACCAAGTAGTACCAACAGCTTGACCTCCGCTTTGCAGGACGTTCACCATGTTTGCACAGGCAGCTCTGCAGCTCTGCGAACATCATCCGCTCATGGGAGCTGCAGCTCTTGAGAGCCATGATTTCATGGCAAGAGGCTGTGCTGATTGACATGGTCTCGTTGTACAGGGTGCCTCAGCTACACACGCGACTTCTGGCCTGGAAGGGAAGCACATGCCACTGAACGCGCACTGACATTTTGCGACCACTTGCCAAGGGATGCATCCAAGAATCTGTAGGTGACACCACAGTTTCGCAGCGTCTGGTTGAGCAATAACAGCACCGGTCAAGAGCAAAACTCCAAGTCTTCGGCCAGAACCCACAACAGGAACATGCAAACAGTGCAGCAACAGGTTTAGGGCCGGGCGCTCTCGCCTCAACACCCGAAACCTTCTAGGATGATGGAGTGTTTTGCATACTTGTGCAACGGTTGTTCTCTCACTCTGAACAATGTTCTCCTCTCTGCCATATCTACCTAAAACCGCACGTTCTCTCTCCTTCGGCCCTCTGAGCGGCGACACACGGCTTTCCGTTTTCGGCCTGTTCCATCTGCATCACAGCCCTGTGTTACGATACTCAGCTGTGCTACTCGGGTGGAAGCTGCAACAAAATCAGCTACAACAAGATCGTAGAGCCTACAATAAGAATGCCCGATGATAACCAGGCTCATGCCAGCCAGGGCTGGTCTTGCTAAACGGGTCATCAAAGCAAGCAAAAGCCATGGGGCATATGAATCGGTAGATGACACCTTGGGCTGTTGCAGCTTCCCGTTTTGCCCATCTTGAGCGACCCTGATTGGGCCGCGCCCCAGATGGCCTCTTCTGGAGCTCTGTGAAGGCGCGCGAGGCCCATCTTGGGCTTTCAGGGGTTCTTGGGGCCGGCAGGGCCCTTCCCGGGCTCAGTCTTCCTGCAGTGACTGCGGGGGTGTTCAAGCAAGTCCACCATGAGCCCCCACCCTGAAACTGCAAAGTCAGCCTACTGGAATCGGGTAAAGGGGCGTGGAATGTTGGGAAGGCGTGGTGGGCATGGTTTCTGGGCCCGCTGGTGAGAATCTGAGATCAGATGGCAGCCTCGCCCTAGGCAGTACTGGCCGCAGGGATGACGGAGTTTGCATGACCTTGTATGAGCTCGCATAAGCTTGTATGAGCTCCTGGTGTTTGTTTCAGGGGTTTTTTTGGGTTGTACTCTCACGGTCCCTGAACACATCGAGCCGTGTCCTCCTGCTCTGCCTCGAGGATCCGCTTGGCCTCCACACTACAAGCAGGAACTGCGCTGTTCCGACTGGCACATGGAGAATCCCTGAGTCCAGGTTCTGAAACTTCGCAATGACCACTGAACGGCGAAACCTCCAGACCTCTCTCTACCAAGCGAACACGAAGACAAACAAGCCCCGTCGAAAAAAACATGCTTGCAACTCTTCACAAGCTGCCTTCTCGAAAATCAGCGGTGTCTCGGACGCATCCCAAACCGAAGACAAACGTGTCGGGTGTGGTTGCGAGATGGCACAGCCCGCCTCAGCCTCTGCTGCCTTCCGCTGCTCTGCTGGCACTGCAGTGAACTGGCAAAGAAAGGCAAACAGAAGTTTAGGGTTTAGGGTTCAGGGTTCAGGGTTAGGGTTTAGGGTTTAGGGTTAGGGTTTAGGGTTTAGGGTTTAGGGTTTAGGGTTTAGGGTTTAGGGTTTAGGGTTTAGGGTTTAGGGTTTAGGGTTTAGGGTTTAGGGTTTAGGGTTTAGGGTATTAGGGTTTAGGGTTTAGGGTTTAGGGTTTAGGGTTTAGGGTTTAGGGTTTAGGGTTTAGGGTTTAGGGTTTAGGGTTTAGGGTTTAGGGTTTAGGGTTTAGGGTTTAGGGTTTAGGGTTTAGGGTTTAGGGTTTAGGGTTAGGTTTAGGGTTTAGGGTTTAGGGTTTAGGGTTTAGGGTTTAGGGTTTAGGGTTTAGGGTTTAGGGTTTAGGGTTTAGGGTTTAGGGTTTAGGGTTTAGGGTTTAGGGTTTAGGGTTTAGGGTTCAGTCTTCTTGGGGTAGAGGTGTCGCGGCTTCCTCCCCATGATTTGCAGCCTGGACACAGCGTGCCTTCAGAACTATGAAGACTGTTCGGGCAGATATCCCTTTTGTCTTGCTTCAGTTCCTTGGTCATTCGTTCCTGCTGATGCGCGGAATTACTACGTTTTAGGGTGTCCACCCCGTGCTTTTCTTGCGTTGCTGCCTCCCGGTTGCTGGGTTTTATCGTGAGATCTGTCTGTCAAAACAACTGACTCCTGGATTCCTGATACATGTCGATGGCAAGGATACCAATGCCCTTTGTTCCGATACTGTGAACTGTCTTTGATGTTGGTCTCGGTGTCCTGGCTGCCTTTTTTGCTCGTTCACGGGCTAGGAACTCCTCAAATGCCACTTCAACTGACCAAGGCAGCAGGCATGCAGATCCCGAGCAAAATAGCAGGAAATCAAGGCTCACCTATGAAGTCACCTCATGCTCCGAGCCAGTCCCTGCCTGGTAGTTGGATGCTGGAGAGATCCAAGAGATCTCAAGCTCGAAATCCTTGTCCTTTTCATCATGCACCTGCAAAAAAAGGTCCGCCACAAGTCCTGATTCTGAGATTCTGTGAGGGATCCTGAATCGGGCCCCGGTTGAGTCACGGGCATGGGTGGCGTGGGGGATGTCAAAGACACTTCATCATGATCCCATCGTGCCTTGTGAATGATCTTTGCAACCTAGGCCATCGAACGCAGCTGCGGATGGCAGTGCAAGGTGCTTTCGAAGCCGCAACTCTGACGAAGTGTTCCTGTGTTGATGCTTCTTGACACTTGATTGATGCGCGACGGCGGACTGACGAATGAGCGCATGGCATGGACAAGGGCCTGCTCGCAGGTGAGTTCTGGGTTGTTCCTGCCAGCGCACAGGCATTGTGAACCAAATTGGCACCTAGCACCTTGCCGGACATAGCAACACGAATCGAATGTGCTGGGTTCCAGGTCACAGGTTCCAACAAACCTTGAACTTCAGTACTGATACATAACACTGCCGCTTAAGAAAAGCGGAGGGACTGCTTCTGCACAGGACGGCAATGGAAAGGGCTTGTGGCAGTACCTGATTGATGAAAATGATGATTACCTTCTAGTATTCTGATCATTACTTCTAGCACTATGATGATTATTATGATACCTGTGTATTTGCTTGTAGCTATGATGGTTATTATTATGATGATTATTATGATGACTTTGAAAATTATGCTGATTCTCAGTACTCTGGTTTTAATCATTTTAATCTCCTTTTTTGCTAACAGCTGTTCTGTTGGACCAGCGCTGGGGCTGGGGCGCCAAGACCTTCTCGATCTCGGTCTTGGCTGCCTGCTTGCCTGGCATCACACTGCGTGGCGCGTGCGAAGTGCAGATGAGGGTTTTGGGTTTTAGGGTTTCAGGGTTTCAAGGCTTCAGGGTTTTCAGGTGTTTTCGATTTTGGGGTCTTAGGGTTCTCGGGTTTTAGGGTCTGAGGGTTTTAGGGACAGTGTAACGAATCCAAGCCAACACTTCCTCATACTTGTGCATCACAACCTCACAGAGAACTCCAGAAAGTTGGAACATGGTCTAAGGATGATTGCAGCTGGGATTCACTTTCATATTATACCTTTGAGGGTATGGGTATAGGGATGTTCCAACTTTTTGGAGTTTACTGTACCTCTAGCCTACTCGAATTCCGGGTCGAGAAACATCAAGCTCACCGGGGCCGTATCAAGTCATGACAGGAGGCACCCTTGCCCTCTGCCGTGGCCGTGTACCTGGACTTCCCGGAACGCAAAGGACGCCGATCTCAGATCCCATCCGGCCCGGAACGATCCCTTCCCAAACGTTGGGGTCACTTGTAGACCATGCCATTGGGCTCAATGCAGAACAAGTCCGGCTTCTTGGACTCCTTTTCCCCAGGCCAAGCGCTGCCAGTAGCTTACGCATGTTTCCTATAGCTTACATTCGCTTGCCGCCAGCAGATGCTGGCCAGGGGGCCTCATCCACACAGCCGAGAAGAACTGCACAGCCGAAGGGACGTACGGACCAATACCTTGGTGGTCATCTTTGCTGCCTTGGAACACTCCCATTGGGGGGGCAAAAGCCTCTCTGGGCAGCAGACAAGGTGTATGCGTGCATGAAGAGGCCCAAACCTCGGAATTCATGGCGGACTTAACATTGAAGTTCTCCCCACGCTAACTCGGGCATGCCCGCAGACGACGAAAGCCCCTCCAAAGCTACGGGCCGTAAGCGCCGAGCAACAGAAGCGCAAAGCTTGTCTATGCCACTTCTGAGGACCGCTCGCTCAGCCAAGAGCTCTGGTGGAACTTCCTCGCAGTACCTCCGAAGCAGCAGCTATGGGCAGGGCTAAACCTGTTTAACCCCTGGAGGCCACGTGTAGATGCGCTGCTCGCACTAGGCTCCCCACGCATTTTGATACTGCCTTAGAGCGGGCCAAAGTATACCGGCACTTTGAAACTGTCTTGCGGGCCCCCCATTTTTCAGGAGGCGGCGTCGCTTCCGATCGTGCCCGACCTCCGCAAGTGTCAAACGGTAGTCAGGATGTACAAGGCTTGCTCGAGCCACGCCAGGGCTTTGGCTTACGATCTGCCGGGCGTCTGCTACCATGCCAGCAATGGACATCCCCGCACGTCGGTGAACCTGCGCAGGGAGGAGTATCAGGGATTGGAATCTCAGGAGCCAGAATTCTAACCAGCTATCTTTGCGATCTCACCATCGGAACAGGTGCTCTGAGCTTGAAGCCGGAAATATCCGCTTGGCCGTGCCCGGCACCAGCATCTTGGAGAGCCTACAGTACCCGCAGAAGACTTTGAGCTTTCAGCGCACTTGCCAAAGTGTTCCAGCGACCGGTTGCTGCCAGACAATGCTAAGCTCAAGGACAGAAACTTTTCTGCGGCGAACACCACACCATCCTGCAACAGAACCGTCCAGAACAGTGGCTTTTTCCCATAGCACGCTGACGTCGTCTCCCTGTCCTTGCAGCAAATAGCTAGTGTGGTCCCGCTGTTCTCAACAGCCTTTCCGGCATACTCCACCTGGAAGGAGATGAAGGAGGTGAAAAGTTGCAAAATCAAAGCTATGAGAGGAGAACATGACATGGCGCGGCACCTGGAAGACTCGGCCGTCGGGGGAAAAGGTGGTGACGGAGAGGTCGTAGCCGGCTCCTGTCCCTGCCTTGGTCTCAAGGAAGACAGAGGCAACGGTTGCGAAGTCACACACAAAGCATACTAATCTGCCGTAGAGGGCACATGAGGGCACCATGTGCTGAGCACCCTCCGATGTTTGGGCTCCGGGCCATCTTTGAGATGCCCCGCTCTCACAAGAAGGACTTGATGATGATAGATAGCTTCTTGAGCCAGCGTGGCGGCCACAGGGAAGGCAACCATGGCAAACGGTCCACTGTCTAGCTAACTTTAATCGCCAATGCGTTGACTGCGAAACCTCAACTTCCACGCAGCAGATGCTCTTCACACCATTTTTGCTGAGGCGAGTGTTCTTCTTGTTGGCGCTCGTGGCATCCCTAGCTCTGTTCTCAGGTCTCCTTGGCGGCGGCGTCCTTGGCCTTCTTCATGCGCTCACCCAGGTAGTGCTTGTTGGTCCGGGCCTTCTTGAGCTGCTTGTAGGCCGAGGCCTCCTTCTCCTCGGAGGTGATCGCGCGGGCGCGGGTGCGCTTCTCGGGCTTGGGCACCGGGATGATGTCCTTCAGCGTGTTCTGAGCCACATTCTCCAGCTCCGACCGCGGCGTGTCGCCCTTTCGGACCTTCTTGGCACCAGCCTTCTTTGGGAAGAGCAGGAGCTTGGACATGTAGAGCTTCAGGCGCTCGACATTTGCCTGGAGGCTCTCCGTGCAGCGGTTCCTGCGGCGGTGGTCAATTGCGATGCCAATGGTCTTGGCATACTTCCTGGGGATCTTGGCCTCCTTAAGCTCGTCCAAGGTGAAGCCCTTGCCAAGCCGCAGCTTCATGTTGTAGCGCTGCGTCGGAGGGTGCACCACCGGCCGCAGCAGGCCGGCAGCCGGCCGCGGGAACACTTTGGCGGCCTTGGCCTTGCGTGCATTGGATCGGCGCTTCTTGCGGCCAGCCTGGTCCAACCACGTGCGCATGAACACGCGGTTCTTGCGTCCGGCCTGACAGCCATTGACCTTGCGAAAGTGCACATTCGGGATGATGTTGTTTCCTCCGTGACCCATGGCTCCAACCTGCCTAGCTACCCAGGCTACCCAGTTGATCAGCGAAACTCGCCCCTGAACCCTAAAAGCAGCGACGACAAGAGGGAACAAGCCCGGCAGAATGGCTCAAGATGACTCAAAAGGCTCCAAGGCTTCCACTGCAGCTCTGAAGCAAGCAAAGTATGGTTTTTGGTGCGATCTGCCAGATATCCTGCCATGATGGAAGCACAGCGCCAAGTACGCCTGAGCCTCGTGAAGCTTGCGAATCGAAGGGCCCGAACAAAGAATCACTTGACTTCAGTGATTCAGCACTTCCTGCCTTCAGCCTGCATCGGGCACGGCCAACCTTAGGGGAAGCATCCTGCCCACATCACCCACACATCCATGCTGACAAGTCAGAAAACCTGGCTCCTCTCAGCACGCCGCCGCCGCAACCAAGCGCTGCAGAGCAACTTTGACGGCTATCTCCTGGCAATCCTGCATACAACGGCTCAATGTCGTTCAATGCTTCTCATATCTGTGCACGGCTGAGCCCCTTCCCTGGTGTTGCACCGCTAGGTTCTACTCTAAGTAGGAGTCTAAGCTTGACAGAGTCCTGCACAAGCTCCAGGTTCGTGTTCAACACCGTATCCAACGCATCCTGGAGAGCAGAGAGAAGGGGGTCTTAAAGGGTTTTAGTCGGAAGGGCCCCCAATTTTTCAGAAGAACTTGTTTTGGGAAGTGGCACGACACCACGTCGCCTGGCGTCGCTGGAGGGCCGCCGCCGCAGTGGCACGGCGCCAGGCCTTCTCTCTCTCGCTCTCCGCTCTGAACCCTCTGCGACAAAAACCTAAATACATACATGTTGTGCTTGTTTACTTTTGTGAGTATTATTGAGTATTTATATTTCTTTTTATGTGTATTTATTTATACATAAATATACAAAATTATATCCTTTCATACAATACAATACGATACGAAACGATACAATACAATACAAGACAACACAACACAACACAGCACAACACAACACAACACAATACACTACAAAAATATATAATCTTATATACATATAACAACAGTCACATTTGTATACATACATATATATATATATATGTGTATATGCATATATATATATATGTATATATATATGTATATATATATATATATGCAGACACATTCCTCAAAAAAAGACTAGGTGCTGGGCGTTCCAGGCAGCGGACTGCACTGGCACCTCTTCAGCTGGCTCTCTTGAGAGGGGTTTCTGCCGAAACTGCTGTTAACCCCAAGCCGGCGCCTGAAAAGTAAGGAACTTCGAGTCCCCAGTGACACGGGGGCCTGATGCACTTCATGGCTTCATGGGATGCATGGGATGGACTTCAGCTGATTCATGGGGGCCTTGCCTTGCCCTGAGGCCGAGGAGGCCACAGCACGTAGCCACGCATGAAGGAGCACCTTGCAGCCACAATCTCCCATTCCTATTTTATTATTTAAAAAAAAGTGTGCGTTTTTGCATGGGGCATCTCCCCTGGCCTTCAGCATCGAGTTTCGATAGCGGCGCCCCCGGCAGTGCAGGAGGCCCTCCAAGCCTAGATGGGTAGCAGAGTCGCTTTCTTTGCTGCTCGCAGGAATCAGGGCATGCCGTGCATGCCTTGTAGGGGACGCCAACGTGACAAGCTTCGAAAAGCCTGGCATATGACATATGTTTGGGACCTCTCAGCATCTTTGGAGGTCAGAGTGGTCGACAACTTGCCAGCTCGGCCCAGAGCAAACGCTTGCTTTTCAGAGTCTGTACAGCACGTGAGAGATGAAGGGCGGCAAGAGAAGCCAGAACCATCCCTGCACCTTGCAAGGCAACACAGTTGCAAGTGGTCTCTCAACGTTTGTTTGCAGCGCACACGCTCTGCAGCTTCTCCAGCTCAAACAACCGAGCCCAAGAAAGCCCCCACCTTTTCTGTCGCTTGCCTTGGCCAGTGAAGGCGTAGCAGCTTAGCAAGTCCAGACTCAAGCAAGGCAAGAACACGATGAACACGATGAACACGGGGCTCTTGCCCGGCAGGCTCGGTGCAGGAAGAGATGCAGGCGGCTCGACCTGAACTGAGCAGCTGCGGACATGGCCAGAGTAGGCACTTGTTCTAAGGCCGCCGCAAACACTGCCGCCACCATGTCTGGAGTAGCAACGCTTGAGCTGGAAAAATCCTCGGCCATGGATCCAACCACTGTTGTGACATCAACTCCTCACAACAAAAAGCAACCCAATCTGAGCAGGGCGACCATTGTGACAGCTCTTGATGCCTCAGTCTTTTTGTTTACTTTGCCTTCGGGGATGCTGCTGCCCCAAGCGTCTGCAATTCAGATGTGAACAAAAAGTGCTCAGTGCTTGTTAGACATGGAAAGACATGATAAGAGCGGTACAACTTGGAGACTGTGACTCGCTTCGTAGTTTCAGCCTCCCTCTTCCACACCTTGAGCCGCGTAAGAGGCGAGGCCAGAAGCCTTCACAAAGCCCTGAATGTATCCCAGCACCTGGAACTTTGAGAACTTTGTACTTTTGGCCCCAAAGCTGACCGAAGCAGCCTCTAGCACCTGCCACAGGCGGGCCGTCGGCCTGGGCGTGCACGTTTGGGCTACCCATGCAAAACTTTACATATGACGGTTGTTCGAAATTGCTTCACGGCAAAACGACCATTCTTCACGAAAAGCAAAATTTGTCTTTCGCGGGCCCATCGCGGACTTTCGCGGAGCATATTTTACACCCGTATTAGTTTCAGCACAAACAGTACTAACACAAAACTTCACGAAAGCGTGATTTGTCTTTCGCGGGCCCATCGCGGACTTTCGCGGACCCTCATTTCCATCATCTGATGGTCGCCCCAGTATAACTCGAAGACAAGGGGGGTTTTGAACAACCCTCATATCAAAGAATCAAAGAACGTAAACTTGACAGGGCAAGGCCCGGAAACGAAAGCTGGGGATTTGGAAACAATTGCATAATCTTCCGTACCTAAAAGCCGGATGTTGTCTCACAGATATCACAGTGATTGCATAACGCAGACGTGATGCTTGTCAGTATCGCAAACACTACGTAGAAATGAAGGGCTCGCTGCGCTAGGTTTATAGGATTCTGAAGGAAGGGGGGTTCATGGGGGTAGGTACCTAGGGAACCTTAAAAAAGCTTAGGGAGCCTTTGGGAGCAGTAGGGAGTGTTAGGGAACCTTGGGTTGTATACCCCCCTTCAACCCCCCCCCCCTTAAGAACCCTATAAGAGGTTTCGCGATCCTGAGCTGGAGGCACGAAAAACTCCGGCTGCGGCGTCTTTGCAGACTCTTTGGCAGCCTCGACGTGTGGAACAGAAAAGCGCAACAGGATGCGATGCGAATCGCATCGTCGAGCAATACAAGTGGCTCGAAAAAACTCAACTACAACGACCCTCACATCTCAGCCTGCCTGCTCCCTGTGATTCAGCAACAAGAACAGAACATGTGCTCTAACCCACACCCACAGATGCAGACTGCCTCCAAGCGCTCCTGCCAGCGCAAAGCCTCTTCACTGTCGGCGAAGCGAAGGCGGACGGCCTGAAGGCGGGGGAGGTTTCGTGAGGATGGGAGGCGATCGGCGAACGCCGGGTTCGAGAAGCTGGTGAGCGACTCTTCACAATGTACCGATTGCCGAGATCAGCTGCTGGGGCGAGCTCAGGGTCTAGGGTTTGGGCTTAAGGTTTAGAAGCCGAAGAGCCTTCACCCATGCCCCTCCCTATGCCCCCAGCTCAGATGCCTCAGATCGGCCTCCAACAACCGCTTGAAGAAAAAGGCAAGGCTCCTTCACATTGGCCCCAAATGCTTGGGACATGTGCCAAGAAGCGCTGGAAAGCCCACCCTGCAGAAACCTGCTCATGAGAATACATACAACACGTGGATGTAGCAAGATGACAGGTCTCATGACAATACGCGCCTCGTGGCTTGCCCCGGAAACAGACACGATTGACGACAGGCTCAACCTGTCTGCCACATGAGCTATGCCAAAAGATCGCGAACAACATGCGTGCATGCCCCCAGTAAATTGTGCTTGGAAGTTCATCACTCAAAGATTGGGATTGAGGGCATGCAGCGTCAGGACTTCAACTAGATGAATCTGCCAAGCTGCAACCTGCAATGCCACTTAACACAAAGCCCCACTAGGGCGCGGCAGGGCCGACGGTTAACCATGTGCATGTGACACAAGGTCCAGACGCATAGACAACGTGCAGTGGCTCTTCCGACTCAAAGAAGAACAAGAAGCCTTGTACCTGCGAACTTGCAGGATCTTCTTCTTGCAGTTGACAACACACGGCACGAAGCAGCTTGAGGTCTTTGACAGCAACCTGCAACGCCTTCACTAGTCATTTCCCCCTGAGCTCACCAGCACAAGATGCTCTGGTCGCCATCTTGCCACAAGTCCACGGGGCCTTCAGCCAAACGATCTGTGCATCTCACCAGGCTGCATACTTGCAAGATGTTTACGCCATTTAAATGAATCCGTGGCCAGGGCCCAACACGGATCCAGCCTCGGCAAACCCACACGGATACTCTTGCAACTCTTGAACAAGAGCATGTGTCTGTGTGTGTGTGTGTTCTCTTTCCTCGAACCACCGAGCAAAGTGCGAGCGACCTCACACTCTTCCAAACGCGAACGAGCCCACAGCCACTCCTGGCAAACTCTGTCAAGAAGCGACTAATGGCTCGAAGGCATCTGCCTGTGCAGACAAAGCAGAACCCGAGAGTGAAAAATGCAACTACCGCTCCTGTCCCGTGGATTGGGTCCGTGCCGGCAATTTTGTGGCAACCTGATCTGAAGATCCTCAGCACTGCCCACAAATCACAGAAGGCTGACATGAAATGGCGTGCCGCGCACCAAAGCAGCTCAATTCCTCAAAGGCGGCGACCACGCATGCTCAAGCACTGAGCCGCGGCATATTTCAGCTCGAGGCTTTGAACGAGCTTGCCAGATGTGGAAACTGGATGATGCAAAGGTGTATAGTTGATACGGATGACTGAACACAAACGCTGTTCTGGCATATCGCATACATACGGCGTCTAAATCATGTTCTCTCATGGTGCCAGTGCTGTCAAGCGGCTGCGAAGATATTTGCCGAAACGTTAAGACTTCACTTGACGCACAACAATCTGCTCTTTCGAGCTTCATATGCACCCTATGCGTGTCATGACTGCTCGTGACCTGACCCGCTGCAAACGTTGGGTGCCATGTTGCTCGGAAGGCTTTGACAATATTGTCTGCACCACTTGGGCGCAGCAGCACGCGACGAGCAAAGTTGAGCTTGACCGATGCGGCATGCCCTGACCGACAAGACCGAGTTTAGTCCCAGGCTCAAAAATCTTAAAACTTGGCATTCGACCCTAACCAGCACTTATCGCCCTCACACAACGCAGCATGGCTGATGTGCCAGGGAGGTAGCGCCGTTGGTGGAAATCTCTCTGTGGTGTGAAAGAAAGTGCTCCGAGCAAAGTTTCTAGTTTCTAGGGAACATCTGACACCCTACGTACACGGTTTCGCTCCAACCTGCCTCCAGCCTGCCGCCAGCCTACCATACAAGATGATGCTAGTAGAAGGGTGCTCTGTCGGGCGCTCAGAAAACCCAGCTGCAAAGAAGTGGACTGGGAGGAGTCCACAGCCCGCAGGCCACGAAACGGAGCCTGTCTCAAAAGCATGGACTCCCAGAACGCCCTATCCTGTTATCGTGTTGCTTGTAAGTTTTTTGTATCCGGGATTGTTTTCCGGCACTGGGTCCGAAAAAAAACCAGCATCGACACTCTCGGATGCGAACAGAAGGTGTGCGCGCGAGTTGGCTTGTCGATGTTTGGTTGATTGCTGGACCTGCCAACCACAAACCCGAGATCAAAGCATGCTCCAAGCATAGCCAGCACACCATGTAGGCCCTCAACCCTAAACCCTAAAACCCGACGCTCAGCTTCCTAGGATGACCTTGAGAGCCATGACACAAAGTGGGCAGAATTTGACTGCAGGCCGATCAGGCCCTCCTCTTGTGTGGAAGGACATGAACCGCCACCAGCATACGAACAGGACATCGGCATGCATCAATGTAAGTACATCAAGAGGATGTTCCGTTCATGAACCTATCCTGAATCAAGCGATTCAGAGCTTGTAGCGTCTCACCTGTAGTTGCCGCGGCCGTGAGTAAGTGCGGGGTAGCCTATAGCCAATAACCAGCTTTAGATTCTTCAGCACCCCACCCTTCCACCTCTCCATCCTTCCCCAGTGCTTGCAGGCCACTGTCTGAGATCTTTGTGCCTTTTCTCGCTTTGCTGACCAAAGACATCCGTATAGAAACAAAAACTGCCCGGCGCTTCAGTACAGGGCCTGCGCAGCAGCAGACAAGAAGAGGAGTGCTGAAGCACGCTTGCTTCTGTTGCCGCTGCGACTCAGGTGTAAGAACGCATCGTGCCATCTACTAACGAGCCTGCGCCGCGCACACTGCAGCCCCAAAGGCATCTGACGTTTCTGCCAGGGCCTTCTCTGCCTGATGCCAAGACTCTACCGCCGAAACGTCTCTCCCTGTACCAGTTGCCAAGTAAATCCAGCACAAAGCCGCACTCCTAAATAGCCCCATGCATCCAGGACCTGTCGCCAAAGACACATGCGAAGTTGCATGGACTGTACGTTGCAATGCTTCGATGTCCGACTTCAGGAGCCCATTTGGTCGCAAGAGTACCGGATACTCCCTGCTCAAACTCAGAATCTCTTGAACCGCCGCCATGGCCTCCGACAGCGCTTGGGTGGCGTGGAAGGTGTCGTCAGCGAAAAGAAACGCACGCCCGGCCTCGGAGCATTGTGTGTAGCGCTGGTGAGCTTGCCTGAGCTGCCGCTGAAGAACCGCCTCAGCCGCTTCCAGGACATGGTCCGCACGTTGCGTGAGCAAGCGGAAATCCGACGGAGACATTTGCCACAGCGGCTTCCGAAGCTCTGCCCGAAGAGGCTGCAGGTGGACAAGCGGCGGCCGAGCTCTCCGTGAGAACGACAGAAGCGCAGCTCTGGTCAAAAGCTTCAGCACGAAGCACTTCCACCGCGGCAGTCGTTGCCGTCTCTCCTCGATCTCTGGTTGAGGGGGCTGACCTAGAATCGTCTGATTCTGCAGGGAGCTGCAATGTACCAAGCCATTCACCGCCAGCGCAGCCCTTGCAGAACAGTAGATCACATCTGCACACGCATGCCAGTGCAAATGCCACTCCTGCCACTGCTCACGCTTTGCCTTCAAGGACATCAGCCTCGCCCACTCCTCCAGCTCAGACCTGCACATTCCCAGGTACACCTTCGGCACGGCAGTTGCTAGCTTGTACCCAGCCTTCGATCGCACGAGGACTTGTTGCAAAGCATACCGTGCTGAAGCATGTTCCACGACCCTTTCTGCAACCAGGCTAACATGGCCATACATGAACGTTGTGTCTGCAAGAAAGGAGAAGATGCTTACCCACAGCATGATCTTCCGGAGCTTGCACAGTGGACTCCTCTGTGGCCTGGATGCCTCCTGCAGGATGACTGCCTGCATTCTCCATTGTTCCGGAAAGGCGGAAGAATCCACGGGACTCCACGGGACTCCAGAGTTGTCGGGGAGCCTCCTCCCACCGTTTCGAAGCTGCACTTGAAGAACCATGTCAGCCAGAAGCAGACCACGTCGGGCCACTTGCAAGGCCTCCTTGAAGATCTCCGTGCGATCGAGGGGACTGTCCAACGCATGCATCAGAAGCTGCAGAGCTTGCCCCTGCTGCTCCTGCAAAGGAATCCTTAAGTCCTCCAGAACTTTATGTTGAAAGTGCTGGCGCATGAAGGTGATCAAGGCTGGCACATCCGCTCCGGTAAGAACTTCATTACTTTCGAGGCAGGGGGATGTGCTTCTGACATCCCTGGTCGGTGGTGCTGCAGATGAAGCTGCAGTTGAACGTGTCACCGGCCTCTGCCACACAAAGTCAGGTGCTGCGCCTTAGTCTAGCTGAGTCTAGCTTCGTGTAGCATGCTCGGTTGTTTGCCTAATTTTGCCTACAACACAGGAGAGCATACCAGGAACGATCACTCACATCACGAACCAAGCAGCAGAATCCCAAGTTTAGCTGGAAGTCCACATCGCCAATTCTTGCCAATTCAGCTCGGAGCAACACTCTTGGTTGACGATGGTCTCTGCCTTTCCTGCACTCCAGCTCAGCCTCTGACCAGGCCACATACTCAGGTAAACTGACGTCACCGCCTGCATCAGCGGAGGAGCTGGAATCTGCCACCGGGCTTGCCTCTGGAAAGTCCAAGGCCAAGTCGTGCGTATTCTTCTCTCCCGAAGCAACCCGTCGAACATAGTCCGCCATGCTTGCTATGTGCTCAACAGCTCCTTCCTTGCACCAGAGAGACAGCAGAGGCTTCCACGCACTACGCCCAGCGTCCACCTCCAAGATGGCGCAACCAAACTTGGCGCGTGTCAGGGCTGTAAACAGGACCTTGAACTCATGAATGGCTGGAATCATCTGGTAGCAGGTGTTGCTGTGCTGCAAAAACATGTCGCCATCCTGTGACGACGCCGCAAACATCGCAAGCTGAGAGCCCTCTGAGCTGTCATCTGCCAAAGAACCGATGGCCCACTGGTGGGAAGATTTCCCAAGGAGCTGCACGGCGATGACCAGGTCAAACTCCAGGCCCTTCGCCTGCTAGATCTACTGGGCTAAACCCTGAGCCCTGTGCCCTAACCATCCTAAACCCATGAAAGCTGCCCCTGTACAACTGATGCTCCAAAGCACTGAAGCCACTCCTGCCATGGGCATGGTCTTGCAATACCAGCCCAAGCTTGAAAGCCTCAAGCGCCAAAAGTGGTGAGCTTCCTTGAACCCTGTATCCACTTTATACAATGCCCCCATCTGACCCAGCTTCATCCCCCATACAAGCTGAACCCCACGTAGTCAGCCTCGGCAACTGTCAGGATCGTTGCTTGGCATCCATCAGCACGCAATTGCCTGGTTTGCTTGTATGGCCGTGGCTGCTTCCGACTAAAATCGGGTTGAGGCCTAAACAGGGACCTCCAAACTCCTTCTACAGAGCCGGGTAGCAGCTCTTATGTAGTGAAGGGGAAGGGGCGTGACAAACTCCCATTCATCACTACGCACAACCGCACGTAACCTCAGCTGCGGCAGTACGACATGTCCTCTTGCATCCCAAGGGCTCTCTTGTGGCGTCAGCAGGCACCTGGCAAGCGATACCCTATTGCTGGGTTCCGGGGCTCCAAGTGTTTGATGTTTTGGGGAAGGTTTAATTATGCTGTGTGGTAACTTCTCCCACTCATGACTACTGATCACCCACTTGTCAGTAGAATATTTACCATACAGTAGTCTCTATGTTCTCGTCAACAGACCGACCACTACTGGTAAATGGTGCTTCTGGCGAATCGACATTCGACAGGTGCAGTGGCCGACAGAAAGGAGCAGCACTGAGAAAGAGACCGAAGCAAACATGAAAGGGCATCCGACCGTGAAAGTGTGAAGAAGCCATATGCCCAACCGAGATGGAGCTGCAAAAGGCATAGAATGGAGGCGGCATGTTTGCATGTAACAGCTGACCTGAAACGGCGGATGGCAAAGGCCGAAACACTACATCACCACATCAAGTGAGGACTTGCTGCTCGAATGGGAAGGGTCTTGGGGATGTGTATGTACCCCCTCAGTTGCCGCACATGGCGGCCTTGCTCGATGCAAGATGTGGCACTGACTTTGAAAAGGACGGTATTGATAAACCGACAGCCCAGTTGTCTTACTTGGACAATTAGGAAAGAAATACCAGCTGACATGAGATTCACAACAAGATCGAGTCATCACTAAGGGTGCTCAGCGCTTGGAATCCATTGCCGTGGCGAAACACATCCTGACGGAGCCCGCACAGCCAATGATGTCCCCACTCATCGAGGAACACGGCATCATCTCTGCAGATTTAAGATACAAGGTGCGTATTGAGATTAAACACGAGCACCGGGGTCCCATTTTCTACGGATTAATCAAGGACTAGGTTGATCCCTGCCATGGCCCCTGCATTATCGATATACGTCCTGAGAAGTGAAGAAGCGATGGCATGATCTCTGTGCCGCTCTTCATTCAGAATGGAGATCCCGTAATGAAGCTAGATTCCAGTTCTTTGTGTTCAGGTGAACACCTCGAATCACACATGCCCTCATGTATCAAGGGCACCAGAATGGCCGTAGAGCTGGCGTCGATGGCCCAGCCCAACTGCAAGCTTCCACTTCCTGGCCAAAGGAAGGCAAAGGAAGAACCCAAACTTGGAACCCCGACAACACCAGGCTTAGGTTTTTCGGGCGATAGAGCAAATATATAGAAAAGATCCTCAGCATCCTGCTTATCTGACTGCTGACACGGCTTCCGGCAATGGCCACTGCTGGGCGGCTGGTCTCTAGGACAAGCGGTCGAACACGAGCCTTGACTTCATCATCTGTCTCCTGAGGACGAGGCTCTATGGGCCCACAGTACACGAGGCACCTAGCAGGGATGCATACCAGCTGTCTCCTGAATGTGATCTGCAGCATGAGGAAACCGACTGAATAGAAGTCCAGTGATCGAATTGGCCAGAGCTCGAATGCCAGGTGCACATCGATAGTTGTATCGCAGGACATGGAGGCTTCCACTGCGAGGCTTTAGATCATCCTCTTGTTCTTGTTCCTCTTGTCCTGTCACTCGGAGATTTGCAGCCTATACTGTCAGAGCGGCAGCTAGTGTTTGGAAAATACCTGCTGTTCGTCGCGCAGTCTTTTTTCAGCTAGTTAACGGCTTGAGACGTGCAAATGACTTGCTCATCCCGGCGAAGGTCGAGAACCTTAAGCATATAAATCGTTTGACCTTGCTGAAAGAACAATCTGCTGCATGGCTACTCTAATATCGAGCACACGGCAAGTTCAGGCATCTCCTTGTCTTCAAGCCTCCACCCAGACTAGTTCGGACTGTTGAATGGACAGCGAGCTCCGGACGTTGGCTTGGGGCAACGACACTTGAAAAGAGGCTCAATGACAAAACCGCGTTTGGAAGAAAACCTTGCACCTCAGGAATTTGGATGAACTGGGTCCTCGCACCTCCAAAACCTTGTCGTGTGCTCGAATGATGTCCTGAAAGCAGAACGCACTTCCTGGGTTGATTGTTTGGCACGTGTCCCCAGCGACCGTAAGACCATCCCTGTCTCCGCAGATGTCCAGCAACGCTGCCAGCTCAGTAGGGGCGAAATCTTGAACTTCATCCACATAAACCTCATCCACACGACCAACACCACGCATGCGCTCTCGCAGCTCAAGTGCCACGTCAACTTCATCTCTTCTGCACATCTCCTCCTTGATGATTGTGTATCTGGTAAACGCATGTAAACGCACAGTGAATGGCCCGACGGTCAGCAGGTGTCAGTTGCACACCTTGTCCACTGACTTGCGTCTTGAGGTACTCTTCAAGGCTCAAACCATTCCAATGCCAGTGGTCAAAAGGGCGCAAGCCGCAAGTAAACTCAGTCCAAGGAGTCTCGGGTAAATGTGCCGCTGGAACTCTCTAAACCCAATGCAGCCAGCAGTTGGGGACACGTTGAAGTGCGCAACGAGCTGATTCCAAGTGAGGCACACGACGCTACCCCTTGCAGGCCAGTCGTGTTGGCCAAGCACGACACTGACTGAGACATCAACCAACTCAAGCTGCTTCACCACAGTATCTCTCAAGAAGTGAGATTTTGTGATGAAGAGCTGGCATTTGCGCTCCATGCCTTGAGAAGCCCACAGCCTCCTGCGGATAATCATCCGCTGTCTTCCCTGTACCAGATCGACCCTGAACAGGCTGCCATCGTGTTGAACAAACTCAAAAGCTCAGCATCGGCCTTGCCACTACTCCCACCAGGTTCTTTCAAGCTCTGGGCTGCCAGAAGTCTGCTTTGGAGCTGTGCGATTGACTGTTGCACGATGAAGTGCAAACGAAGCGCTGCCATTGACATGACACTTCATCCTGGACAGATGAGAATGCTTCCTCTGCCTTTTGCAGCCGTTCCCTTAGCAGCTGTAGTTCTTTCACCACCTCTGTCTGATCAAGTGCCTCCAAGGGGAGGGGCTGTAGCCATTCTGAACTCAACGGCCGACACACCCGTCGCCTGTGAAAGTCTTTGGCACCCTGAAGTAGATCTCGAGAAAGCTGCTGCAACAGCAGCAACATGCCGGTGCGCTCGGAATGTGTGTTTGCCATGTCAAATAGATGGCGGAAACCGTTACTAGCTGATAGCTTCAAGGTTTGCTCCGAACGATCCATGCCCCAAGTGCCTTCTCCCAGAGCTCAGCAAGATGCTACAAGTCAATCATCTGCCCAACAACTTGAGTACGAAGTGTGAACCCGAGGCCTAAGCAAAAAAGTGTAACACATTCTCGCCGAGTGAAAATGACCAGAACAGCAGTTGCCCTCACACTTTCAAGCTGGTGAGCACTGATTTCCCGAGGGTTTAGGGTTTAGGGTTTAGGGTTTGGGGTTTTGGGTTTAGGGTTTAGGGAGATTCGTTGAACAGTGCTTGCTCATGATCAGCAGTGCTACAGAAAGTGCTCCGCCGGCTTGAGCAAAGGTCAAATGCAAGAAAAGGCAAATGCCATGCCCGTGGAAAGAACGCATTCTGGTGAAGGTGGAGATTGAAGTTCTACATGGTCTTATAAGTTGAATTGTGCTTTTGCGTGGACCCTTGCGGTACCCCTCCCCTGCTTTTGTGACTGTTCGTGTACCCAAGCTGAGGAACAGGCGCTGTTTTGCGGATTGCTGGGCATGCTCTTTTCCAACATTGAACATGAGAACATTGTTCTCCTTCTTACACCCGACGACCCGTTCTGGGAAGCGACGGAACATTTTGTTTGTTCAGTACGATCACGCAGTGTGTCTTCGCAGGATCACCCGAATTCGAGAGAACGACTATCAGGACGTGTTGGAGCTCGACTGAGCTTTTCAATTACCCGGTGAATCTCCCCGTGCTTTCGTTTGGTTCCGGCAGTCCGGTGGTTGCTCTCCGAGATGTCCAGGCGGATCGCGACCTGGGCCTCTTCATGATCGGCGACTTGCAAGCCGGCCATGTACTGCTGCACGACACGTAATCTTGTATCACGCGCCTGTTGAAGCTATTGCAAAGGCTCTTTGCAACCAGCCCGGGTGCAGGGCTCTTTCGGGTCCCTCGTCGGCGGCTGCTGATGCTTGAGACCGCAGCCAGTGGGTCTCAGCTCACGAAACACACCATGAACAGAACCATAACCGAACGTATGAGCTGTAAACAATGAAGAAACACCCGAAACTAGCAGAATCATAACTATCATCGTTAAAAACAATGGGGTCATGCGACCGTGACAAGCTTGCGGGCTCGTAAGTCTAGGTTGTGGTTTCGAGAAGGTCCCTCTGTGTTGCGGCGGCTTGGGTTGATGACACGATGGGCTAGCAAACCGGGCTGTCACTTACAAGTTTCAAAAGGAGAAAGCCTGCATTCCACGCACGTCTTCTTCTTGTGACCTTTCGGGGCTTGACCCGGCAGCAATTTGCCCCCAGGCATCCGTGGGCCACTGTCAGCCATTTGCGCTGTTTGCGGGATGCGTACGCGCGAGCTCGACGTAAATGAAACACTTTCCACCCCGCGCCCGTGTGTCTACAGCCACTTTCTGCACTCTACATCCTATCACATCGTCACCCCTGGAAGCCCTCTGCATTTGCCCAGCAGTGGCTGCGTGACACCGTGGGCCCTGCAAGTCGACGCAGCCTCGTGCGATGTCTACAGAATCCACCGCCTTAGCTCATTGCTGCACAGGGTCCAACTGCATGACTTCCTCAAGTTCCTGGCAGTCAAAAAATCTTCGTCGTCTGAGTTTGACTCGTCGCACCCTCGGATCTTTGGTGAAGCAGGAGCGTGATGGATCAACAGAAACATCTTGCCGAGGATCAAAAGCGAATTTTTGCGAAACCGTGGAGAGAGAAACACCAGGAAGCAAACCCAACTTTGCTAGAGAGAAGGAAGAGAAATGAGTAATCGCCAAGCACCGAAACTTCTGCCAGCGTAGACCCCAACCAGTCAAGGACCGCAGACCATGCAAGCAAGCATCACCTAAGCACCCCAGAGGACCATTCCAGAAGTCCCCCATTCAAAGAGCACTCCGCAGGACCACTGTCAGGCCATACAGAAGCCACTCCAGCAAACTACTCCAAGACGACCACTTGCGAACACCACCTCGAGACCTTTGAGAGACCACTCCAGACCAAGCCAGGACCACTTACTCCACGACCACTCAGAGATCACTCCAACACCACTCCGACCCGTCCAGGTCCAGAAAGCTACTCGAAGTCTAGAAGACCGACCAGGTGCAAGAAACCTCCATGCCACTTCAACTCCGAAAGTGACGACAATTTGTGCGTTCAGGACGGTGAAGCTCCAAAAGCGATGAGGGTTCCCGGCGCCTGCCGACCACGAGGCTCCAGAAGCGACGACAGCTCAGCGTTTCGAGACCCGTTTGGGAAACCACGAGGCCCCAGCGCCGGAAAGTGTGTCCCTGCCATGATTTCGGTGACCATTGAGACGCCGAAAGCCCTCGTGCTACGATTTCTTGTGCTTTGGACGCCGAACACCCTGAATCCCCTTAGAGGGCCGAGATTGAAAGACCACACCAAAGTAGCCCGAGAAGCCGAACATGAGCGTTTCCATCGAGCACTTGCCCATGGCAGCTGGTAGCGCACACGCGAACTCTCTTCTTGGCACAACGAGTGCCACACAAGGCTCTGCTGGCAAGTCTTTGACACCATGGATTCTACTCCTTTCCGGAGAGTGCTTGGTGCATCTTGAAGCGACATGCTCGACATAGCAAGTAGCTCACACGCAGGGGGATATGAGACAAAAGAAGTTCTTCATTCTCGGTAGGTGACGTCAGTGGGAATTCACATAGGCAGCAGGTCCCAAGTATGACACCCGAAATACCTCCCGTAACCCTTGACCCTACACAATACAGATCCGCACTCGTCCACTAGTAGAAACTACACTTCAACCCCTTACCCTCAATCCAAGTTGCCTGTTTGTGGATGTAAATCCTAGCACATCTTATTGAAGTAACAGAGCTGTCTACAACGGCTGCGGGCCATTCTCTTTAGAAGGTCTTGGGAGGCTGCAACAACTAGCTGCAAACCAGCCTGCCTCATTCCTTCACCATCAAAGCGACTCCTTTCTGCCGTCCGGAGCCCCTCAGCTGCCCCACTCACCGAGGCCACGGCACCGATAAGGCGAGGTGTGGAGGTTCGAGAGACCCACCTGACGGCAAGGCAGTCCCACGCGCTGCAGCGACGCGCGACGCGCACTTCCACGCCCCCTGCAAGTCCGTCTCAGCCTGGTTATACGCCAGATCCTATCCGATCGCGGCTTCAGTGCACCTTTTTAACAATGTGCCACGGCAGCTGGAATGAGTAGCTACAAACCCAAACTCTCTCGCCGCTATGACTGACGGATTGTAAAACTGCACAAAGACGTCTCAACCAACAACTGTCGAGCCGTGAAAAACCTGCAAAATGCAGGCATTCTGTAGTGCTTTAGCACTAACCTCGTACATGATGTATGGACGGTACATGCATGCACGGCTTCACTCGCTACACCACCGCACAGTCCCAGAGCGGGCGGCCGAAGGTGGTGAAGTCGGTGCGGGGGCCCCAGTAATGTCTCCCATCTTCACGGTAGATCTTAATGGTCTGGCCGTTTGTGTGCGTAATGCTGAAGTGCCTTGAGTCCACATCTCCGACCCTGAAGCCGCCAATCTGAACGAAGCGGTCTCCGAACGTGACGCCTTGCGCCGCACCGCGTGGTCGATGCCACGAGCCGTGCGAGTGCCCAACGAAGTTTTTAAAGTGGTGCCCATCCGAGCGGAAGAGAATTGGAGCATTGCCGTTGGTGTGGGAAAGGCTCAGGTGCCCTGAATGCCACTCGCCCAAACGCCAGGCGCCGGCAAACTCGATAAATCGATCTCCGAAGCGCAGGCTGTGGGCCGATTGCTTGGTCTCGTGCCCCCACCAGCCCCAGTCCGACCTGGGCCCACCGAAGTGGAGATTGTCGCTTCTGTAGATCATGGCCGTCGTGCCATCGCGGTGGCTGACCGTGAAATGGTGGTAGTCGGCACCTAAGCGCCAGTCACCAATCTGCAGGAAGTTGTCTCCGGCGGCAAGCCCAGGGCAGACACCCATGATCTCCTGGATTCCGCCACAGTGCCACTGCGGGAAGCGGCTGAAGACAGGCGCCGACCACTCATTGCCTATGCCAGGGTGCGAGTGGCCGCCGTGGGAGAAGAGCTGGATCGTTCCGCCGGTGTTGTGGCCGACGGCGAAGTGACCACCCCCGTCGACATCGCCGAGACGGAAATTGCCGAGCTGCAAAAAATCCTTCCCGAAGGTGATGCTGGACGCGGCCCCCGCCGTCAGCCTCCAGGCGGTCCAGGCGCTTCGGAGGACATCGCGGTTGGAGTGGATTGTCTTGTCATGCCTGAAGATGGCGATAACGTTTCCGTTGCTGTGGGCTAGGCTGAGGTGGCCGTCGTCGATGGCGCCGAGCCGGAAGTTGCCGATTTGGATGAAGCCGGGACCGAAGCTGATGCCGTGGGGGAACCCAGTAGGCCTGTTCCATGTACCGAAGTCCCTGCGGGGTCCCGGGTGCCGCGTCCCATCACCGCGATAGATCATAGCTGTGTTCCCATTCTTGTGGGACACGCTGAAGTGGTTTGCATCCCAGGCCCCGAGACGCCACTGCCCCAGCTGGATGAATCGATCTCCGTAGGCACCCCAGTCTGGATCGCACTTGCCATAGGCGATTTCCGCGATGTCCTTGCACGTCCACGGAGCCGGAGGACGGCTGTTTATGGCATGGCTCCACTCGTTGCCTGGACGGTGTTCTGTGCCGTCATATCTGTAGAGGTGGACGAGGGTGTTCGAGGTGTGGGTCACCACGAAATGACCAGGGTCGTTACAGCCGATCCGGAACTTGCCGATCTGGAGGAACCTATCTCCGAAGGACACGCCAGTTGGTGCCCCCTCCCCACGGTCGAAGGCCCCCCAATCCGTTAGTGGGCCATAGAAGACCTTCCTGTCGTTGCGGTAGATGATCATCGTGTTGCCGTTCTTGTGTGAAAGGGAGAGGTGGTTGTCGTCGATGGCACCGAGGCGGAAGTTGCCAATCTGGATGTACTGGAAGCCGAAGGAGATCCCCTTAGCAGTTCCCACAGGCCTGTGCCAGGTGCCAATGTCTCTGCGGGGTCGACGTCTGCGAACGTGTGTGTTGCCCTCGGCCCCGTAGATCTGTGTTGTCACGCCGTCCTTGTGCTGGATGGAGAAGTACTCATACCCATTACCATGGTCAACGACACCCATGCGAAAGGTGCCGACCTCAATGAAGTGATCTCCCATCTTTACGGAGCCCTCCACAAGCGAGCATGCTGGCGCCGTGGCGGTCATGGAGACCTGGTTCGTTACCTGGCTTGGCAGTGGTGCCTTGACCCCGGGCCGGGGCGGACGGCCCGCGAACTTGCATCCCAGGTTGGCAGCGCACGGTGCCTGATCGAAACCTGGGTTTGGGATCTTGTAGACTTCCTCGCAGAAGAGCTTCTGAGGTTTCAGCAGCTGGATGGACTCAAAGAAGTTCAGGTCGAACTCGGGGATGAGGCTCGCCAGAAAGTTGCCGGCACTGTTGGCTGCGTTCTGCAACGCATCCCCACCCGGCATGCAGGACGCCGGGCCGGTGGCCTGCTTGGTCATCGACTTCGTCAGACCGTCCTTGATCTGTTTCACCAGGAACTCGCGGTTGAGCACGTCCTTGAAGATGTCCGGCAGCGCCAAGCCGGTGATGTCGATGTCGGCGTAGGTCGTCAGCGCCGCAGCACCACACATGCTAAGCTCGTTGCTGGTTGCGTTCATGAAGTCGTTCACGTCATCCAAGTGCTTGTGGGACTCCTCGTCCTCCTGGATCAGGAACATGCCCGAGCGGTAGCTCAAGGTGCCATGCGCTTTGGCTTCTGCGTTGATCTTGGCGTTGAGGTTGATGGGAATGCCAGGCACCGGATAGATGGTGAAAACTGGTCCCATGCCGAAGCGAATGGAGGTGGTGGCACTGGCACCGATGGCGAAGCCGTTGGTTCGTTTGATCGAAGGGCTCTCGAAGTGCGCCGTGGCCTTGCCGCTGGGGTTGACCTTGACGGTGCCCTTGATCTCGAAATCAATGTCCGTCGAGGCCTCCACGGTACCCGTGAGGACGCCCTTGATGTCAAGCTCGGCGATGAACTGGAGCATGAAAACGATGCAGAACTTCCCCGCGCAAACGACCTTCGTCTTGGGCTTCTCGGGGAGGCCTTTCTCGGCATGAAAGGAACAGCTGCCCTCTCCTTCCACCAGCGCATCGATGGAGGCGCGCACTAAGCCCGAGATGCTCATCGAAGTGTCCCCGTTGGACTCCACGGTCACTGTGACGTCCGGGGTAAACTGGGCGGCTCCCTCTACTGCGACCCAAAGGTTCGTCTCGCAGGAGCCTTCTGGCGCTTTCACCTTCTTGGGCTTCAGGGCCTCGCGCGACTTCATGACCTGGTTCGCGGTCTTGTAGGCCTGCGCGTACTCCTTCCCGGGGAGGACCGCGGTGCCACCCTCCTTGCCGCCGCCGAAGGACTGCCCAGCCTTGGCGGTGAGACCGGCCCCTCCCTTAAAGTCATCGTCCTTTGTGAAAACGCACCTGATTGACAAGCTCGTCGCGGACGCTGTGACATGGCTTCCGGCATCGCAGTCGCATTGGTCACCGATCAGGAGTTTGCATGGGGTCAAGGAGTCCTTAATACAGTTAATCATATCCAACGCCACGCCCCCGACGAACTCCCCGGCTTCCTTCAACCCGTCCGCCATAATCCCACCCAGCTGGACAGTCGAGTCTGCCACAAGCTGCCCGGCGTAGCTCATGGCCTGTCCCACTTGGATCACTCCGTTGCCGATGGTGTCAGCCACGTTCTTGATGTCACCAGGCAGGGATGTGATCTTGCCCACCGCTGGTTTGATCACGTGCTTTCCGATAATCACCGCTGCGTTGGCCGCCGCACTGCCAATTGTCAAACCTGCCTGCTTGAGTGTGTTGGCAGTGACTTCCGCAGCTGTTACAATGTGATTGCCCACAGCACCCGCAGCATCGCCGACAGCATCCACGATGCCACCGACGGCGTCGCCAATGAAGCCCAGGGCCTTTGCAGAGACAACTGCATCCAGCTCTTTCTCCTGCTCCTCCACGGAGGCACGAGACGAGCGTGCAAGCAGCGCCAGCTCCACGTCTGTCTTGTTGGATGTCGGGGCCACTTCCAGCAGGGACGTGTTGGCATCCGGGGAAAACTTGATGGCTGTCGCCAAGGGCATCAGCATCGCCAGCACCGCCAACAGGGCCGGCATGGCTGGCAGCCCAAAGGGCGAAAGGAATTGCTTCATTCTGATATGTAAATGTACTGCTGCTACCCGGGAATCCTGAGCAGCTCGTGACCAGTGTGATGCAACGCATCAAACAGCTCTCAAAGGCAACTGCCCATCAACAAACACGGTTTCCACGCGTCGCCTGGCTGACCGCCTCCACGGCCAGCAAAGGTGCCGGCACGGTCGCGCTAGCATCGGACCTGGCTGCTGCGTGGCGCACGTGCCGAAACGCGCCGACCCTTAGCTGAGTTTCCAGGCGATGTAGCGGAGAACGAGTCGACGGAAGCCGGCGCCTCGAGCAGGCAGGGGGCAGGGGGTTTCACAGCGCGAGGGCGAAGTGGGCGAGTGGCCACCACGCAGTTCAGCCTGCTGGGCGAAGTCTTCCGCCCTGGTCCAGATCTAAGTCCTGCAGGCGTCAGCAAGGATCCATTCTGGGGCACAAGCCGCAATGCACCCCCGCCGTTTCAACTCACCCACCCCAAGACCTGACATCACTCTGACCCTTGCACAATAAGCCAACCACTGTAGGCCATAAGGTCTGAAGTGTTGCGACGGAAACTCAGGCGATGAAGGCTTATTACGTTGGCTTTGTATGTTAAGGTTTCGGGCTGTAGAGTTGCAACATTAGGGTCTTCAGAGTCTATGGGCTTAAGGCGTCGGATTTCTGACAGTTCCTTTGCTTGGGTTAAACGGGTTAGAGGTTGGGTTGAGCCAACGCTTCAGCTCTCAAATGCTGGAATGCCGAAGCTCAAACGTTACGTGTCAAGCGCTTTACTGTAAGCATGCCATTTTCCTTATATTGTTGCCACCTTATGGGTTGCACTTACGCCCAGATTGAAAAGGAGCAGGACATACTGTTGGAAAGTGTCTCGGAGTTGTCTTCGAATGGTCTCGACATGCTTTGCAGGGACGTTCCAAACTTGTGAAAGTTGTCGTGGGAATGGTCTTGGACCCTTGGATTGGGAATACGAATTGACTTGTGAATACTCCTGACATGCACTCAGAAGAACGAATGGCTGACTTCGCGAAGCTGAAGCAAGGCCGCACCATCGGCCTCTGAGGGCCTCATCGCCGATCTAAGGGCAACGGACCTGGAACATCTGGCAGGCGGAAATCCTGCTTCATCCCGGTTTCGTGCGTCTTCTGTGGGAGGGGTGCCATCAAAGGAGCCCAGGCGGGCCGGCAGCTGCGGGAGCCGACAGGCCGGTAGCCGCAGCTCATCTATTCGAGGCCAGGAGCGTCAAGGGGAGCCATGAGGGGAGCCATGCAGACAAGAGGTCAAAATTTGATCTAACAATCAGCGCACCCATCCGAGAAGCCCGAGGGGAGCCATGAAGGGACAACAAGGGAGCCAGGCAGCCGCGGCCCACCCATCCAGCTACTACGGCCCACCTCAATTCTGAGGAGAGGACCCCAAACCTCACTGTTTGGTTTGGGGAATAAGACTAAACGTGATCCAAGAAATAGCCCTCAGGGATCGAAAAGCATGAAAACAGGATCCAAAAACATCCGAATGTGTCGTAACAGTACCAGCAAAGAATACAATACCAAGCAAATACAAAAACCAAACCGAATCAAAAAACGAGAGCGGCGTTGTCGGGGATCATACTAATCCAAGGAATCGTCGTATTAGTGCTGGTAGTAGTAGCAGCAGCAACAGCAGCAGCAACAGCAGCAGCAGGAGCAGTCGCAGTAGCTGTGGTAGCAACAGTAGCAGCAGTAGCAGCCAGTAGCAGCAGTAGCAGCAGCAACAGCAGAAGTAGCGAAAGAAACAGCTACTACAGCTGCTACTACTACTACTACTGCTACTACTACTACTACTACTACTACTACTACTACTACTACTACCACTACTACTACCACTGCTGCTGCTGCTACTGCTACTACTACTACTACTACTACTACTACTACTACTACTACTACTACTACTACTACTACTACTACTACTACTACTACTAGTACTACTACTACTACTCCTACTCCTACTCACCTGTGGATCCTGTTGTTGTTGAAAGCTGGTTTCTGTCCTTTGATGAGTGCGAGAATGTCAGGCCACCAGGGCTGACAGAAGCCCAGAGCTGCTGTGAGAATGTTGGTTCCGCCCAACCGGTTCAACTCAGATTAAACTTATAAAGCCGCAAAGTTTGAAACCGGCCCGCTCGTTCTCTTTTTCCAATAGGTGTCCGGTCTGATGACAGTCGATTCTCAAATCATTGTCTTAAGAAGAGCTTGATGGAGACCAGACCGCCAATAGCAAGCCAGCGGTGATTCTCTGCGCGCACGCTTCCAAGGTGATTTATCTCAGATACATTCTGGCAAGATGTGGAAGTGAGAAAAAAGTTGGAGAAAACATGCAGTTGCAGCCGCGCTGGCTCCGGCATGGGTAGTCTGGTTGACAAAACCAAGTGCAAGAAAATCTCAAAGTTCTTGCACAATTGGGCGGGATGCAGACTTGTAGGTTCAACGTGGTTTCGTTGTTCCAGGCTTGTAGGTTTTACGTGGCTGTCGTCGTAGCCCGGAGGTGGGTGTACAGCGCGGTTTGTTCCCGGGCCAAGCCTTCAGGATTGCGTTGCCAGCCTCAATGCTGAAGAGTCTAACCAGAAGACCAATTAATTGCAGCCAAGGCTTCGAAGGCTTTAAAGGTGAGGACAAAGGCTTCGAAGCCTTCGAAGGTAAGGGGGCATGATCTTTACGAATTTTGCGAAGGGGGCTTGAGCAAGGGGGGGCTTCCTCGAATTCGAATTCGAGGAAGGTCAGGGGGTCCCGGGGGGGGGGGGGGGGGGAACAATGAAGGCTTGAGAAGGGGCTTGAAGGGGGCTTGAGAAGGGGGGCTTTCTCAAATTCGAATTCAAGGGGGGCTTCAGAAGGGGCTTGAAGGGGGGCTTGAGAAATAATTCTCGAAGGGGGCTTGAGAAAATTCGCAAGACTCGACCCCCCCTTCTCGAAGGGGGCTTGAGGAAATTCGCAAGCCCCCCCCCCCCCTTCTCGAAGGGGGCTTGAGGAAATTCGGAACCCCCCCCCCCCTTCTCGAAGGGGGCTTGAGGAAATTCGGAAGCCCCCCCCCCCTCCTTCCTCCCACGCAACAATAAGCAAATGGGGGGGGTAGACAGTTTCGTCCTCTGATTTTCGAAGAATGAAATGCAAAACAACACAAGATTCGAAGAGGGTGGAATTTAGAATAAAGCCCCTTCTCTCTTCTGCCCTTCCTCCCACTCCAGAAGAAGCAAATGGGAGGGCTGCGCCTTACAAGTGAAAAGAGAAAGAAAATCACAATTATATTGCAGATAGTTATATACAGTTACAGTCGTGATTCAGCACTAAATCAACAATTTTTCTAAAAGAATGTCATTCATATGTTTGTAATTATAATTTTGGTGGTGATGATATCAACTGTCATTGAAATTCAGAACAAGATACTGGATGAGACGAGCAACAGACATCAATCTATCAAAGGTAAAGAAACACAAGATTAAAATTAAATTCATTTTTGAAAAATACCGTAATTTTTCCCCCCCCAACCCCCCCGGCTTTCTACGTCAAGGAGGGGCTTTATTCTACATTCCACCCTCTTCGAATCTTGTGTTGTTGTGTTTTTCATTCTTCGAGAATCAGAGGAGTAGGGACGAGAATGCTTTTGTTTCTATCCTCCCACTCCACAACAAGCAACTGGGGGGGGCTGCGCCCCCCCCCCCCCCCCCCCGCTTTCTACAAATGAAAACAAAACAAGACTGATTTCGGAAGAATGAAAAACAAAGCAACACAAGATTCGAAGAGGGTGGAATTTAGAATAAAGCCCCTTCTCTCTTCTGCCCTTCCTTCCACTTCACAATAAGCAAATGGGAAGTATAAAATCAAACACTTTGACTTTGAACATCAGACTCTGATCAATTTGACCCTTCAGAAGAACTTGAAGCCCCCTTCGAGAATTATTTCTCAAGCCCCCCTTGAAGCCCCTTCGAAGCCCCCTTATTTGAATTTGAGGAAGCCTTCCTTCTCAAGTTCCCCTTAAGCCCCTTCGATGCTTTCTTCAAATTCAATTTAAGAATTTTGCGGCTTATAATTCTCGAAGGGGGCTTGAAGCCCCTTCTTAAGCCCCCCTTGTTTGTCCTCAAATTCAAGCCTTCCCCCTTAAGCCCCCTTTAAAATTTAAAAAGATCATACCGGCAAGAAAGATTGGAAAGGCAGTCAAGTCTGTGAACAAAGACTGACAAATGCCAAAGGGGGGTCCGGCCGTTTAAGAAAAAGGGAACAACAACAGAAACTCTAAACTGGAAGAAGCAAAGCAAAAAAAGCCAGATAAGAGACTTAGAGCCGTCGAAGTTGAAGTTGAAGGTAAAGAACTGCTGGCCAGAGAAGAGCTCAGAGTGGAGGCCACATGTGCTGGGCAGTCAAATTCGACTGACGCTCCGCTTAGTTTTTGCTCCACATTTGGAATCCAGCTGTTTTTTGGGTTCTAAGCTTCTTTGCCGTTGGTTTGCCTTCAAAAAGGGTCCCAGTGTTGTTATACAGGGGAGGCCCATGCACGCGAAGCCAGAATTGCTTAGATTTTGCGACCCCAGATTTGGAGTCGCGCAAACTGGCCACTTTGCAACCATGTGTACGCGATGTTGCAAGGCCTCAGAGGCCTCACCCTTTCGGGCGTTCGAGGCCTTTCGAGGCCTTTCGAGGCCTTACTCATGGGGTTTCGAGGCCTTCCGAGGCTCCCGAGGCCTCGACAAAATCCCAAAACCCCTTGAGCTTGCAAGATTTCGAGGCCTCGGGGACCCGGGCTTGCAATACTATTAAGGGGTCCCCGCAAGGCCTCGAGCCCAGAGGAACCCGGGCTGCCTCTCTTCTTTCATGTGAAAAGAATGTTAAGCCGCAGCTGGCTCCAAGTCCTCTTTATTCTCTATTCAAAACGTCACGACGGACCTCGAAAGCGCCTCGACCGCTTAAGATGATCCTGCAAGCTATTGCTGCCGCAAGTTTACTTCTCGATGGCC